AAGGCCATTTAATCGCAAAATCACGCTACGGCACTCCAGTTTATGATTTAAATTATTTTTTGTATATATTATCGATATCGCGGTCGCACCGTTTATCACTTTCAACGAGTTAGTTTGCAAAGAATGTAAGCTGACTTGCAGCTGCTACCCTTTTAATTGTTCTTTTCTGTCGTCGTTTATAAATTACGTTGCACTCCCTTTTCGTATCTCACACGTTCTACAAACGAGACGATTTGTACGATAATTAAACTGCTATCATTAACTTTGAGATTTATGTCATCTCTCGTCATTATCGTCGTCATTATCGCTTCTGACGTTACACGAACGTTTTCATTTTTCAATATCACTGTATACATACATTAATTATACAGAGTGTCTGGTATTCGTACAATCGCTTGTATGAAGGTAGAATGAGTTAAACTGAACAAAAAAGTCCTGTATTATTTTGCAAACAACCACGCAAAATTTCGAGTTATTAATTATTGAAAATGATTATATATAGAGGTTTTTTTAATTAATAACTGAAAAATTTGCGTGTTGTTTGCAAAGTGGCAAAGGACTTTTTTATTCAGAATGATCTAACCTATAAATGTATGACAACTGTACTTAACAGGTTGAAAGTTCAAAATTCAATATACTGATATCTGATTAAGAAGTTATATTCATAAATGTAAAGATTTTAGGTAGATTTTAATTGTTCTTTTCAGTTACTATGACTCGAAAGCGTGATCGAAAAATAGGTAGAGGTAAAACTGCGCCTTGATTAAGTGATATTATTAACTTTAATAAAATATTGAAAAAAACGTTGAAACAGAAGCTATAATCTTGTTTTCTTTATATATAAAGACACGTGACAACCGATCCGGAGTATAGAATCAGTAGTCCAATTTGCACGACGTTGCTTCAAGTTCAATAACTTTTTCATGCACGAATATGTATAAAGCTACCATATTTTTTGAGCTAAAGGTTGTAGTTATATAAAAATGTGTACGATATTGTAAAATATCGTAAATATTTTTTATTTTTTGTTTTAATTCAAATATGTAAAGTGTGACTTTATGCTCTGGTTTCCCCTGCTGCAAGGGGATTACGAGTACGTTACACAACTCACACATATACAGAGCGAGATAAAGGGAGAAAGAGTTTGCAATAAAAAAAAATATAGAATAAAATTCGAAAAAAAAAGACAACAGGTTTTTTCTATCGATTTATCGCGAAGCAACGGGTAATGCTTTTTCAAGCGCAACGCTCCCTTAACAAAACTATCGATTATCCATAAGCCCGTAGTAACATGATAACGCAATTTCCATTCATCGAAATTCCCATGTAACTCTGCAATCCGCTTACGTTCATTTCAAGCCATCAATTTTCATAAGTCACGAATAGTGCGAATTAGACAGTACATGGATATCTCGGCGAGTTTGAGCGTGATGGAACATGATGTATCATAAAGATACTAGTAAACTTTATGACGAGCCCCGGATGTGATTGCAACGGCGTCTTCGTGAAGCGTTCGGCCAGTGATTAAGATTCGTGAACTGCGAACCAAGAAGCCGAAAAACTACTCTCAACTTCGTTGTATCTAAACTATTTTGCAACTAAATGTGCATGACGCTTAGCAACTGTTGACTATAGTTGACGCTCGCTCATATCGAAAAAATGACAAAAAAAGGAGATATTATAAATATACCTCGCGCGTTTGTGATTTGCCATCACGACTGTGCAATTTTTGACGAATTAATCCTGTTGCGTCGTAATAGGCAGGATCGCGTGCGACAAGAAGCGACTCAAATGATAAATGACAGATATGAAAGCTAGTTCACGCACTAGAAAGTCCGCCAGTCGCGCTCGTTGTTATCCTATCGCACATCAGGAAATATCGTGCGTCAAGTTCACATGCGACAAAGACAAATTGTATTTTGAAGGTATGACTTGACTTCTAGGTGCAGTGAGAGTATTTTCTAACATACCAGACGTTGGTTCGCTACGTGTTCGCGACAGCGGTTTATTTCACGGACTCGTTCAATCGAGAACACCGTTCATCGCGATTATCCGCATCTCGTATCAAATATTCGTGCGTGCAAAAAGCGAGATACAACCAGAATACCAATTATTAGAATAAGAAAATACGACGTAATTTAATAGCGGTATTCCCGTCGGGATTTTTAATCCTTCTAATCCCTTGTTCCAAGACTTCTTATTTAAATGAGGACAACTTCTAAGAAAATAAGACGCGGAGATCCGCTGGTTTCTATTCAAAATGAGAAAAATGCACGTTTCCCGTGGCAACGTTGCGTTCTGTTCCATAGAATGGCGTCTGTAAAATGAAAATCCGAAAAATGTCTCTGATTTTGCGAGTAGTAAAGTAAATAAAGGCAAAACACGAATTTATTGTATTTTATCTGGTTGGTTGCGCGGAACGAGAGGAAGGTCAAATTAAAATTGAAAACCTCCGCTGTTTTCCATATATCGTAAATTGTGATTGACATAGCTTTATACATGTATACCATTTAGTATCGAAAACCACATACAAAAGTAAAACTATTTTTTGTGAAAGTTTGATCCCACTATTTATCTTTTGCAGGATTTATTTGTTTAAGCGGCTCGGCGAATTAACATGCTGTCATAAGGCTTGCACTTTTAATTTATAACGATCCTTGCTAATTTAAAAAATATACTTAGAGATTAAACGTTATAAAGAAGGACATGCTAAAGCTCATTAACGCTGCTCTTTATGATTTGATTTAATTAACTGCCCAAGAAAAATTCCCTCACTTTTTCATTTTTCCCAAAGCCTAACATAAAGGCAGGCTTACCTCTCTCATTATTGCGAAACTTTTTAATGTCACGATACTTTTTTTTTTCGTCGCTGCGTATCACCAAAGTGATGATCAAAGCGTGTCTCAATGCTATTCCTTAGGACGCCGATTTTCCTTTAACTTTTCAAATTTATAGCTTGACAAAGCTCTTAGAACGTCAACACCTCATAGCACATCTTTGCGGGAGTCGTGTTACTTACAAAAAAGGGGAAAGAGATAATGCTTTACAATCTTCTTCTTAATGGGTGTACCAACATTTCGCGTGCGTGTGTACACGCCTGCGTATCCCACTTGCTTACCAATGCTTGCGCAACGGAGGTATTGTTAGCAGTTACGGTAAAGCACAAAATAACGATTTTCCGCAAGCAGCCGCGAAGCACTATTTACATTCTAGGAAAACGGTGCAACGTGATATTAAAGCTTGTCGTTCCGCACGCGATACCATCCCCCCGTCCCTTGCCCATCCATGTTGCCATGTATCAAAAATATAATCACGCACATCGCGGTCGTTCGTAAGATATAGAATGAGAACGTGGAATGGAGCCATCGCAAACCATGGATTTTAATTTAACGATAATCACGCGTCGTAAAAAAACGTAACGAGTAAACGGGGCTCGCGTAAACGATATAATTATCGCCGGTAGATATCTTGTTGCGAAAACAGATTTGTTCGGAAATGAAAGGACAAGCGAATCCTCGTCCGGCGCAAGCGAGATAATGGAGGTGTAGAGTAACGAATCGATCGCGAGTAGTCTTGAACGAACGGCACTCCCTGCACTACCTCGACAACCGTTTCGTTAATGAAAGATTATTCCAGCTCGCTCCTCCAGAAGCGCAAGTCAAACGATAGACATGCGTCGCGGAGATTCTCTCCTCTTCCTCGGAATCCATCGGATCGCATTAAATCGCACGATGGATAACGGTGATAGGTATCAAGCGCAAATTGTTTATTTCTAGAGATTTCCACACGAATGGATCGCTCGCGATATCAGGCACCTTTCATGGAATTTAATAACGACGGCGAGCGCGCCGTACAAACGCGCGGGAACTTAGTCGCGGCTATTCAAATGGCGTAAAAGTCACGGTAATGATATCGCGGAAAGTTTATAATTTGCCACTGCAAAATAGGAGGAGAAAAGTTGGCAGCGCAGGAATGTCGAGGCGCCTTTACATATTTAAATATGTACGGAGTGTTCCGCGAATCGACAAACTTTTCGTCAGAATATTCGGGAGATCATGAACAAAAATGTTATATAAATAATAGATCAATTCAACTCTGTTATCAAGTTATAGAAAGTGTATTGATATAAACAATTAAATAATTAGAGGCGTTCATGTTACTTAATTTTTGCTTAATTATTTGAAATTGTGTGAAGTTGCATTTAACGCTGACGTCTTGTAATTACGTCAACATTTACACGCATTGTTCAAAATAAATGCTTCATATACGCTTCTCTACATACGCGGACAGACATTTCTGTAGAAAAAAATAATGTGGGAGTCCATATAGGAAATTCATGCGGAATCATATGATCGCCCTTGGGGATTTCCGCCGAAAACCCCAGATAACAACCCACATGGATCCCTATATAAATTTTCACACACCTGTGAATTTCTATATGAATTTTGAAACACCATGTGGATCCTTATATGGATTTTTACTATCCTATATGAATTCGCACGAGTTCCCTTGGATTTCCGTGGGGATCCACACGGGAAGATTTTCAATAAGGCTGCTCCCATTGGCCGCAGCCACGTAATATCGGCAAGATCATTGCCATATAATCATATATCATTGCATATAATATTAACAGCAGCTTATTATCAATTGCTCACGTGTGTCAAGCTTTCTATTTAAATACACTCTCGATTTTACGCAATTCCATAAAAAATCTAAAAAGGGATCACCTGATTAGGTGACCGTGACGGCCATATTTCGATAACGGAGCTGAATTGATCCATTGTTTATATGACATTTTTTATTTAGAATGACCTCCCAAATATGCTGGCAAAGTTTATTGGTTTATTCGCAGAACACCTTGCATTCACTTTGAACGTGTTGGTATAATTCTCTCCCCTTTCTTCTTATTTTCTCTTTCTTTCTCGCTCGCTCGCTCGGTGCTCCGATAACTTCATCATTCGTGCCTATTTTCTTCTTTTTACCTCTGTTTCTCGTTACAGCTCACAGGCGAATGCGCACCGTCACTAATTACTTCTTGGTGAATCTCTCCTTGGCGGACCTTATGATGTCATCGCTCAACTGCGGCTTCAACTTTATCTTTCTCGTCAACTCTGATTGGCCCTTCGGAGTGGTGTATTGCACCATCAACAACTTCGTGGCACACGTGACCGTCGCCTCCAGCGTTTTTACCCTCGTCGTAATTTCATTTGACAGGTCAGTTTCTTTTTTATGGAGAAACTTTGCCATACGTGTGTGCTTACATTGTTCTATAAGCCGACGCGGGCCATCCGGGAAATTCGCACGATCTGTTCGCGCGACGACCCTTTGAACTTATTCCAGTCATTCTGTTCCATTCATTTACAGCATTTATTCATTTGCAGCGCATTCACGTTCGACAACGGATAATTTATACGGCACGGAATTTGATTTGTACAATACCGCCTTTTATCGTATCGCGTTCTCCCAAAAAGCCGACACTCATTTCTCTCGCGTTACACGGACAGGTGCGATCCAATTATTTCGCTCGCACTCTGTCGATTTCTCCCATATGAGACGAGAAACAATCATTTCCCCGTCAACGCGGCCGGCTTTAAGACTAATTCTGAAATAGAGACACGTCGAGAAAATGGAGACACACGAACACTCGCTTACATAGATCCTTTTTAATGGTGACGCATGCGGAAGTAAGAATCGCTGTTGCGTTTAAACCGCAGCTTGCGTTAGCCGGGCGGGAAAATTTCGCGGCGCCTCAACCCGTAGCGATTCAACTTTGACGCTATTTGTATGCAATTGATATCGAACGCGACACCGGACTGAGATAGAACGTACAACCGTGCTGAGCCATTTCACGTGTTTGTTCAGGAAACGCGAATAAAAAGTTATTTGTTTTAACGAACGCAGTTCCAACTGACTTTGACATACGTCAAAGAGTTTAGCCGGTCATCTTTATTTATTAAGAAGAGCTCAGATGGAATTATCATCCTGCGATCTGCTGATAAAATCTCTTTTATTAATAACATTTTAATAAAAAAAGACCATCGGCTAAAATTTCTGGAGGTTATTCGAAAAGATGTCCTCCACAACTTATGTCAAAATCATCGATTGTTGTATCAGTTAATATAAATAAGAATGTATCTGACTTAACTTTACATGAATAATTATCATGAAATATTCCTTTCACGCATGATGATACGTTCCAATAGCAAATCGACCCAGTTCTTTACTTCTTATCTCGCGCATTCTATTTCTATTATTTTATTCTCGCCGCGTATTCCTTCGTTCTTCACAGAGAACGTAAAATAAGCTTTATCTTATCGGTGTATTTCGGATATACCGTTGCATACATGCATGCGCTCATATCATGGACTGTATTTCCACGCAGCATTTAGCGAAATTGATATTTGACAATCGATAAAAATGCCTCAGAACTTCACCGACATTTTCATAGACTTATTATGACGCGAGTTGTACTACTGATGGCTCATAATGTAAAAGAATAAAATCAAATAAAATGAAACAGATAAAAAACATTTCAGTTTTCATTGAGTCTACTCGCAGTACGGTCGTCTATGTTGAATTACGGGCAAATAAAAAAACATCCAAACCCGCTATTTGTCGAACGTGAGAAATTCGTTTACATACACCTGGCAGAACGCATACATGTACACCGGAATATTATTTCGTGCGTGCGGCTTGCATTCCACGTACCCAAATCCAATATCTAAACCATCTATCTCTAGCTGCCGTATTTCACGTCGTTTCTCCATTCCGCCTTACCTTCTGCCGCCCGGTGATCACCTGTATTTAACGCTCGCTTTTCGTGTATCTGTGATCTTTACTCCAAGCTTCAACGACACCCTTATCAACATGCGTCAACATGTGTCAACATGCCACATATTAGTTTCTCTGTATCTCCATTCTTTATATTTCATTTTTGCATCACGTCATCGCCATCGAGGATTACCAGGAAGATTAAATTCTACGGACAGTCAAAAATGTGTTTGCGTATAACCGTTAATTCCCTTAAATTTTAAGGCTGCTGAACCAATTTATCGACCCATTAACGAAAATATCTCTGCTCAGGGAGACAGTTGTTTTCTACCGCTGCTGAAAAATATTTCTTGTATCGTGCTGTGAATTTATAATTTTAACGACTTCGAGATACTGGCTAGTTTATATCGCACGAACGAATAGAAATTGGTACGGTGAGATACGATCGGAGCTTCGCGATATATTTCGGGCAATCTTCGAAGTTACATCAGTTCAATGAAAATGTCAACTACACGAATAGCATTTGATGACGAGACTCGAATTTCTATTTATTCTCGTATATTGACGTTACACTTTGTTCGTCATGCATCAATAAATTATACTATGGAGAGGCGACACGATACAATTGACAAAAATGGATATTAAGTCTCACAACTTTCCTTAAATCTTGTCTCTTTATCGTTCAGTTTGTGTCACCTGTATTGAGAAACCCATTTAGTTGAATCAACTAAATTTTTATTTGACTATGGGCAAACAGATTTTTTGGTTATAAGAACCAAGGTTTAGTTCTTTGAACTAAAGGTTTGGTTCTTTGCAACCTCTGAAACTTCAGAGAATCAAACTTTCGGTTTAGACAACCAAACTTTGGTTATTACAACCAACAAATTTGCTTGCTCATAATCAAACAAGAATTTAGTTGATTCAACTGAATGGGTTTTGCAGTGTTCTCAGCTTAATTCGCTGCGAAATAAAACAATTTGACAAAGGATTAGCACGTGGAGCGACTGTAAAGGAAAGAACAATTCCCAACATATTTTACGCTCGATTTAGCTTTTGTACATATCACCAGGTCTACTGTTACCGGACTTTCGCCCTCGCCTATCGAGCCGCTTAATATATTATCCCGAACAAAAGCGGTATTTCGTTATCCTTGTTGTAAAACGTTGAGACTGAAATTTATAACAGGTTGAATCCCATAGTGCCACCAGCACATCTGCCACTTTTTATCGCATAAATATTAATCAAAATTCGATAATTCCGATAACCTATTTCGTATACAGATCGAATTATTAACAAAAATTAATATATTATCTCACATATAATAATCAATATATTATCAATATTATATCTCGCAATTAGTTATACAATTCTGGTTTTATGATGATTAATACAGGCCAAACACGCGGAATATTTTTAGTCGCATAATTAATGCCACGTAAAATTTTCTCGATAAATATATAGGGAATCCCAAACTAATCTCGGTTCCGGTAGGGTATGCAGGTAAGCAGAAAAGTCATGTGCCATTTTGCAAAATTCACAATAATTAATGAAGAATTAATTATTTTAATCTAAGCTAATGAGCGCACTGGAAGCGGTAGGTCGGATTCTGTATAAAAAAAAATGGCTTACTTCTGAAGATTTCCTAGTAAAGATGAGTGACAGCGAGGGACGTGATTCTTTTCGGTGCACAATTTTTTGTCACATGCCGCTCACTGATTATTGCGTTACTCCGCCTGTAGGAATCACTTGATGCTCATTGTTTCTAGGAGATTTTCAGAAGTGAGCCGTTTTTCTAATTCATCGGAAATACCTCAAAAATCGTGGCGACCGATACGAGGATCACTCTATATATATATATATATATATATATATATATACACACATATACAATATATATAAGTACACACACAAATTCATAAGAAGTTATTCGCATTATATTTGCGAATTTTCCACTGTGAATTTTCTATTTTATTATTGACACCGGAGAATTTGCTCTAGTACGGGCTGAGAATAATGGTAAAAAAAAAATATGAAAAACAATCCGCGTGTGCTAAAATGAGAGATTTTATTGCAACGTATGTATGCAAATAATTCACAAACGGCCAATTATTTATGATACTATTCTTCATTTTAAAACTCTGCAGAATGCACAAACATTAGCCATGTGAGTGTGCCATTTGAAAACTGTGCATTTATCCTGCGCACAAGTATCATTCGTTACAAGTTGTTTTGCACCATCAGTGAAAGATTCAGACGTACATGCGAACGTGAGCATGCGAAATAACTCGGTAAATAAAGTAAAACTTTGGGGAATTGTTTACACCGCGTGGGTGTGTGTGTGTGTGTGTGTGTATATTAAGTCACGCGAATGTACGTTTCTAGTTACACAATGCTAATGCGTATACCTGAGATAACGGTACCCGGCATTATTAATCAATGTCTGCGGTGTACATGTGCGATAAATAGCGTTTCCCTCCAGCACAATTGAATTAATTAACAAGCTCAAGTGAGCGTCATTAATAAGAATATTACCAGTACGGAAAAGGTCGCGTTCTCTGTACAAAACGAAGTTACAAGTACGAAAGTATGCTCCGCACACTGTTATAAAAAAAAAAAAAGAAAAGAAAATGAAAGCGACTTTTGCATAACGATTCGATATTCACGCGCGAAATGTGACGGCAACGAAACATTTTTCCGATATACACGCAGCGTTACTCGGCTTGTCAATTTTTATCATTAGTCATAACGCGGTACAGTAATATAGTGAATGGATACATTTTGACTTTTAAAGCGGAATAGCATATTCTCATAATGTGATATTTAGTGGTGAAGGTATCTCGTGTCCCGAGTCGCAATTTTAGTTTTACATTAATTCTATTCAGTTTTACATTAAGTCTTCAAAGGTTTTCTATGCTCTTTTGATGCTACAGATAGAAAGTTATTTCCATTTCCTTCATTTGAAGACTGAACGTAGAACTAAGTAGACTCAATATAAGACCAAAATTTCGACTCGGGATTACATGAGAAAATTAAAAGATCGCAATGGAGTGTTAAATTTCAATTAAGAGGAAGAATCGATTTCCGATGAATTAACATTAGAACTGCGGTTGGGTTATTTTTTACCTATTTCTTTTTTGTAATTATCTGTGGACCTTTTTGAACTATATGTTGTTTAATTATTTTATGACAAAGAAGGCTTTCCAGTAATTAAAATTCAATGAAATGAGAAAAATAATCGAGAAATAGGTCAATAATGACCCAGTCGCGGTTTTAGTGTTAAAGAGATTCGCGGAGGTAAATCCAGCCTGGTTCATTAGAACGTTATCTTTACACGTTGTTCACTTCTCGATGCGGTGTTACGCGCAAGAATGAAACGAAGTGCAAGAAATCTCCTGATTTGCAGCAAACTATCTCGAATTATGGTTTTCTTCACAAAAGGTAAAGATTACACGCGGTCCTCGGCGATGAGAGTAGAGCG